AACAGGGCTGTGGGACAGCTGGGAACTGGAGGTGCAGCGGGTGCCGGGAGTCCTGTGAGAGTGGGGAGTGTCGGGGAGCTGGGTCAGGGACCAAGAAGGTGCTGCCAGCACTAATGCCCAGGCACTGGGAGTGCGGGACCCCAGGGGCATCACTCTGCAGTGGAGAGAGGTCAAGTTCAGTTGGAGCGGTAGGACTGCCCACCAGAGGGCTCGGGTGGACGTGGGCTCCCTAGGTAGACTTGGGGCTTCCTGGGTGGATGTGGGGCTGCCCAACAGAGGGGCTCAGGTGGACACGGGGCTATCTGTGTAGACTTGGGACTTCCTGGGTGGACGTGGGGCCGCCAGCCAGAGGGCTTGGGTGGACGTGGGTCTGTCTGGGTGGATGTGGGACCATCCTCTGGAGGGTTCGGGTGGACGTGGGGCCCCCAGGTGCCCTTGGAGGGATCCCAGGGTGTGGGCGCGCCACCCCTGCCGCCCTGATGCCTCCGCCGAGCCAGGGCCACCCGAAGCATACGCACGGGCCAGCAGAATCTCTGATGTCACTCGCTCCTTAGCTCTGGCCCTCCCATCAAAACTGTCAGCTGGTGGGATTTGACAGCCCCCACCAGAGTGAGGCCAGCGTTGCTGAGAGGAGCTTGGGGCAGCCTGGGGCTGTGGAGCAGCCAGCACTTCCCACTGTGCCCTGAGCGGTTCCTTCCTGCTCAGAGGGGAGAAGCTGGTCTCTCCGTGGGGGACGAATCGGTGGTCACCACAGGCTGTCTGCCAGCCAGTCAGAGGAAGAGTACAGAAAACTGCCCTGCTGACTGTGCCCTTGTAACCTCTAAGGGTTACACGGGCCTGTCTAAACACTGATGAGGTCCCTGGGGTGCGCGTGGGGGGCAGGTGGCCAGCTGCCTCGGGCGCTGCAGGGCCAAGGTGGCAGTGAGTCAGCTGAGACCAGGAGCCGGGCCTGGAGCGCAGTCCGCGGGCCGTTTTCTGCATTTCCTTTCCCGACGTGGCTGGTAACTAGGCGATGGAGTATTTTCCTGTAAACACTTGGTCCCATCCTCCGCGCCTGGCACATTCATTCACCCCCCTGTCCGCCAGCGCGCTGCCTTCTCCCCTCTGCGACCTGCCCCCTCACTTAGGAAAACCGCGCAGCCGATGTCCCCTGGGGGGCCCTCTGTCCTCAGCCTTCAAGGTCAAAGGCGCCACTCGCGGGTTCCAGATGCCGGTGCTGGCCACGGAAACCAGCTGGCACCGCCTGGCCCGGGCTGCTCGCCTTGCCCCCCCGCCTGTCCCGGCCTGGGCCCGCTGGCACGCACAGCCAGCCACACAGCAGGTGTTTGGGAGCCCCGGGGGAGCTTCCGGTCCAGCAGCGTCCAGCCAGCCAGGCCGACGAGGGGAGGTGGGAGGTGACAGGCGTGTCACAGCAGCTCTCCTTTTCATTGGCTGGTCAGAGGCTCCTGTCACCGCAGGCTAACAGGGTTCAGGGATGGGAGCCCCCCCCCAAAAAAAAAGACTGCTGGGGTCCCAGCTGTGGGACAGAACAGCAGTAGGAAGACAGGGCAGGAATGAGTGCAGGACACGTTCAGGTTAAAAGTCAGGCACTTGGCCCTGGGCACGCGCCCCACCACAGGCGCGCATGTGCCACCCCACGCTGCAGGCTGGTCCTCGGGGGGCCCTGTGTAACCTCCCAGGGAAGGGGACTCAGCCACGGCCATGGCCACGGCCACCTGCTGCCCTTGCAGTGTCCGGCAGGGGAGTTCACGGTGTCTAGCCTCCACTGTCTGGAAGGCCTGGCCTCACCCCCAAAGGCTGCCAGCTGGGACCAGCAGGTTCTAAGAAGAGCAGACTGAAAAACCCTGCCATGTTTGCCCTGGGAGCCCACAGCCAGCTGCTGGGGACATTGCAAATATATCTATATTCCAGCATCTCCTCTGCAGCTGTCAGCCTGGACCCGCCCTGTCAGCGTGGACCCTCCCTCCGTGTCGTCCTGCCTGGTTTTTATTTAGTTCGATTTTGCATATAGTTGGTGTATAGACCATGGCCGGCTAAAGTGCCGAACAGCTGCCCCCAGCACTTGACCCCGTTCCACGGTGTGCGTCTGACTCCCTAGAAAGTTCTCCAGCCCTCCGCGCCGCTCACTCCCGCCCCGCCCCGCCCCCTTAGCGGCGGCTTTTCTCTTTGCTCATCTTCCGCTGCAGCTGATGTGTTCTGCATGGAGCACACGGGCTCCCGGCTGTGCCTTTCTGGTTTTTGTTCGCTGTTAGCAGTTGCTTAGGGGATTTCAACGCAGGTTAAAACCTCATTATCACAGTCTATACTTTCTCGTTCATTCTCCTTCCAGGGAAGCCTTGGGCTGTCCACTCTTACACTGCTGGGAGTAGATGTGCTAGGAAGCCTGAACATTCACTGTTTTTATGACATGGCTTTTTCATGTCTCTTGGACAAACATGAGGGTGTTTCAGAAAGGTCACGGGAAAAAATGGAATTATAAGTTTGCTTTTGGTGTGTTTTCCAAAATATATTTTTTTAAAGATTTATTTTATTTTTATTTTTATTGGAAAGGCAGATATACAGAGAGGAGGAGAGACGGAGAGAAAGATCTTGCGTCCGATGATTCATTCCCCAAGTGATGGCCAGTGCTGTGCCAATCCAAAGCCAGGAGCCAGGAGCTTCTTCTGGGTCTCCCCCACACGGGTGCAGGGACCCAAGGCTTTGGGCCGTCCTCCACTGCTTTCCCAGGCCACAGGCAGGGAGCTGGGTGGGAAGCGTGGCTGCTGGGATTAGAACCGGCACCCCTATGGGATCCAGCTCTTGAAGGTAGAGGATTAGCCTGTTGAGCCATGGTGCTTGACTGTCTTGAGCACCATTACGTTTCCCGGTTTCTTCTTGTGGCTCGTGGTTTCTGCCTGGCGTGAGGAGATGCTGTGGTCGTTCCCTGCTGCTGCGGTGGCCAGCAGCTGAAATCTCGGCTTCTTTCAGTGGCTTTGTCTCCTCCCGTCCTGTGCCCTCCAGGAATTCCCCCTGGCCTGCTGACCTCTTGTCTGACCCCTGGGGGACAGCCAGGCTGCTGCCTTGTGCCACCGAGCCTGTGTGGGTCAGGGGTGCCCCAGGACAGTGCCAGGGGGAGCACTCCCCTGCACACCGCCCCATTGCCCCCGATGGACCCCATTGCCCCATTGCCCCCATTGTTCCCATTGCCCCTAGTGGCCCCCATTGCCCCCATTGCCCCCATTGCCCCGTGCCTGGGGCGCGCAGCCTGCAGACGCGCCAAGCAAGCACAGACCTATCGTCGCCACCAGGCGGCGCCCGAGGCCCAGGCAGCCCGGCCGGCCCCGCGCGGCTCTGGCGACACCTCGCGGCGAGAACGGCAAGTGCAGCCGGCCGCCAAGATAGGGGGCTCAGCAGGTGCCCTGGGCAGAGACCCCCGCCCTGCTGCCCCCTGGACACTGGGTGGGCAGAGACCCCCACCCTGCTGCCCCCAGGACACTGGGTGGGCAGAGACCCCCGCCCTGCTGCCCCCAGAACACTGGGTGGGCAGAGACCCCGCCCTGCTGCCCCCAGAACACTGGATGGGCAGAGACCCCGCCCTGCAGCCTTCAGGACATTGGGTGGACACAGCCCCATGCCCTGCGGCCTGCAGGAAAGGCCACCTTATCCGCTGACAGTTTACAAAGTCAAGAGGAGGCAGATTTCTCCCGCTGTTCATTCTAGCAAGGGGCAGTGTGGCCTCACAGGCTAAACCACCACTTGGGAGGCCTGTGCGCGCCACGAGGCAGTGTCACTTCCCATCCAGCTCCCGGTTAGGGTGCCTGGGAAAGCAGCGGGGCAGCCCAAGTCCTGGACCCCTGCCATGCATCCACGTGGGAGACCCCGCTGGAGCTCCTGGCTCCTGGCCGCAGCCTGGCCCAGCCCCGGCTGGTGCAGGATTCGTGGAGTGAGCCAGTGGATGAAATGTGGCTCTCTCGCTCTCTCTCCCCCTTCTGTCTCTCTCCCTTTCTGTTTTTCAAATCAACTTTGTAAAATCAAAATCATATGGAATGCTTATGAGTGGGTTCTGACTGCTGTTTGGCCCTCACTGTGCGTCAGGAGCCATGGCGGGGCGCGCCTGTGTGACCACGGGGCACCCCGCAGGCTTGTGTGTCAGGAGCAGAGTAGCTGCTTGTTGATTCACAGTGAAGACACTGCCTCTTTGCATTTATCTGAAGCAGTTCTGTATCGTCCTCCACCTGCTTCTGATGCCAAGTGCATCCTTTTGTCTTTAAAAAAAAAATGTTTGGTTATTTTCAAGGACAGTGTGACAGGTCAATTGACCAATCCCCTGTGTGCAGGTGTAGTACCCCATACAGGCGCCAGTTCGAGTCCCGGCTGCCCCACTTCCTGTCCAGCTCCCTGCCTGTGGCCTGGGAAAGCAGTGGAGGACGGCCCACAGCCTTGGGACCCTGCACCCGCGTGGGAGACCCCCAAGAGGCTCCTGACTCCTGGCTCTGGATTGGCTCAGCTCCAGCTGTTGTTGCTGCTTGGGGAGTGAACCAGGGGGACAGAAGCTCTGTCTGTCTTCTGTAAGTCTACCTTCCTGATTTAAAAAAAATCTTTTTTTAAAAAAAAATTACTTATTTTCCTTTCATTTGAAAGAGAGTCAGGGAGCAAAACTCCCCTCTGCTGGTTCACTCCCCGAAACGCCTGACCCAGCCAGAGTTCTCCATCCGGGCACCCCACTGCCTGCCTGGGACCCAGATGGCAAGTGGAGGAGGCAGGACTCAAACCAGGCACCCGTGAGGGCCGAGTCAAATGCCTGCTGCACGTGGAACACGCAAGCTGCCCGCGTGGACGATGCGGGCACCTGCCGGCATGCCGCCCTGCGTGCCAGCAGCTCTCAGCAGCATTGGTGGTCTGCCACTGCCCCTGCGCCTCTGCCGCCCCGCTCGCCTCCGCCGCCCCGCTCGCCTCCGCCGCCCCGCTCGCCTCTGCCGCCCCGCTCGCCTCCCACTCAATGTCTCTCCGCCTCTCTCTAGAACAGAGCATGCAGAATTCCGAGGCTGGATCGGACTCGCCTGCGTCCGTGGCTCTGCGTCCCGCGGCGACCGCGCAGCCTGCGCCCGCCTCCCCGCAGGTAACAGCAGCCGTCCCTGCTGAGCTGGCCACTCCGCGCGCCTGCCCCGGGGTGCCGGGCACCCACACGCTCGCTGGCCCCCTGCCGCAGAAGGCCCCACACAGTGTGCTGCCGACCCACCTGCCCTGGAGCCCCTCCTGGACACACACAGGCCAGGGAGTCGCCTGGACTCCTAGGAGGCCGTAGAAGTATGTTCTCTTTAAAACACAGAAGTTTTGAATTTTTGTTTATCTGAGAAATCAAGGAAGATCTTCCATCCTCTGGTTCACTCCCCAAATGCCTACAGCGCCAGGGGTTGCATCCAGGTGTCACACCTGGGTGGCAAGGGACCCGGCACCTGCCGCTTCCTGGGGGGCGCATGCGCTGTGTGCAGCGTGACAGCTGGAGGTGTCAGCTGGCCACGTGCCTGTCCCCAAAGGAGAGAATCCTCCCCCTTGAAGGCCCTCACTGCCTGCGGATTCTCTGCCACGGGCTGAGCAAGGCCAGAAGTAAATGTTAAGATGCAAAGAGAAGTGATGCTGAGTGCGTGGAAAGAACCGGAAGCTCCAGCAGGGGCATGGATGTACCGATATACCCCGGGCACTCCGCTCACTCCAGAACGCGTGGTCGGTCAGCTCCTGGCGCCTCCTCTCCGCCGGCAGGGCGGCCAGCAAGCTGGGGCGGATTCATGTCCTCGCTCCCTTGAACCCAAGCCACAGGGGTCAGACCTCCCGCCCCTTGCTGCATGCCCCCTTGTCCTGGCCAGGCCCCTTGCACCAACATCCCCTCATGCCCAGGTGGACCCTGCTTTCCCATGCCAGTGGATTCAGCCGGCAGGATCCCCCAGCTCCTCCTGGCTGTGGCCCAGGGCAGCCTTCTGTCCATGGGACCCGGCCCTACCCCATCCTGCACAGCTCACCTGACCAGAGAAGCAGAGCTGACCCATTGAGTGCTGTCTCCTCAGATTTCAGCTCCCACGGCCACATGGCCACCAGCACGGCATCCGTGCCCGAACACAAACCCGCAGTGGACTGCTCAGTCATGTAATTGAGGCAAAATGGACAGCAATCAGAACCGGCCATTTGAAAGCAGGGTGATGGGTTTTTCATAGAGTCATACCATTGTACAGTCAGCCCCACTCTCTGGTTCCAGAACATTCTTGTGGCCCCTGAGTGGTCATCCACAGCCTCTGGTTGGCCACACGTGCACGTCCTGTCCCGTGGACGGCCCCGTTCTGGTCGTCTCCTGTCAGCGCCCTGCCCGGCATGTGACCTTTCCGTGTCTGCGTCTCTCTGGAACCGTCTCGGGGCTTGTCGGGGCCTGGTCCGTGCTCCTGGCTGCATCTCGCACAGCATGGCCGCTCTGTGCCTGTCGCTTCATCCCATCGTGTCTGTGTGCCTGGCGGGGCGCTCGCGAGAGCTGGGTGCCCGGGGGTCTTGCAGCCCGATGTCCCATGGTCACCACCTTGGCCAAGCCTTCTCTCATGCTGTAGTAACATGCCCTGGACACTGGAGGGCGGTGCACCCTCACGCACTGCCCTCCCACAGCTCTGTCACTGCTCTCCTTGTCCCAAGGCTACCCTGCCAGGGTCACCCAGTGGCCACAGAGCTATGGCCAAGGACAGCCAGGCCACCCAGATGCAGGCGGCCTGGGTTCGAGCCCTGGCTCCGGCACTTGGATGCCCCTCCCACAACCCACCCGCCCCCCGTGCAAGGGACAGCAGCGTCCCCTCGCTGCCACTGCAGGCTCCACCCGGCACTGCTGCTTGGGCACTGGTGGACATTGTCGTGTGTGCGTGCGTGCATGGGGCACGGCAGGACTGTCGCTGTGCCAGCTTCTCCCGCAGCAGGAACGGGGCCGCCCCGGGGGCAGCGGGCGGGGGGAAGTCTGACAGCCCGGCCTCCCCTTGCCTTACAGAGGGTGCTGGTGCAAGCGGCCGGCCCCGCGCCCAAAGTGGCCCAGATGCAGCCCGTCTCCCTCCCCAGGGTCCAGCAGGTGTCACAGCAGGTAAGCTCATGGGTGCAGCCCCCCCCCATACACACACACCACACTACACACACCCCCAGAAGCTTCTGGAAGCTCTGGCAGTTCCCACCAGTGTGTGCTGGGGGCAGCACAGGTGGGGAGGGGGTGGCGGGATTTCCCTGGCAGGAACAACACCCACTCCCCAGCCCCAATCCCTGGGCAGCAAAAGGGGTGTGTCATCAAGGAGCTTCCTGCTGTGAGCTAACTGCCCTGCAAGAAAGTTCTAGAAGCACACGGGACCCAGGCCATCCCCGGGGGTGTTTCAGAGCGAGCTTCAAGCTTTCCCTGGAGCTGGCCATGTCCGTCTTGGCTTCGTGGGTCAGGCAGCCTCTGGCACGGCCCCTTGTCTCTGCCAACACGGCGCTAAAGAGGCGTGGACAAGGCTGGGTGCCTTCAAAGACGGGTGGGCACACTCAGGCCGGTCATGGTACCCCCTGTCTCCCAGGGGCCCCTGCTCCAGGGAGGCCCGTGTCCCGGGTGTGTCACGTGATGGATAGTTACTTATACATTTAAAGAGTTTTCTATTTGCAAGAGGGACAGACAGATCTTGTGTCTGCTGGATCAACTCCCCAACTGACCTCAGTAGACAGGGCTGGGTGAATCAAGCAGGAACCAGGAGCTCCGTCCCGGTGTCCCCCGTGGGTGGCAGGGGCCCAGGGGGTCCCCGCTGAGCATTGGCCAGGGAGCTGGAGCAGAAACAGAGCAGCCTGGAGTGGAACCTGTCCTCCAGCATGGGATGCAGGTGGCTCAGGTGGCGGCTCAGCGCACCGTGCCACAACAGGACAGGGGGGTGAGGGGCCTGCGGTGGCCTGCTGGCCCTTTGCTCACGCCTGCGGCCAGTCCGCCCCGGCTCCCCTCGCGTGCTCATCCACAGCTGCGGCCCCTGCTCCCCTCGGGACATGCCAGGGCGGTGGTCCCCACGGTCAGGTGCAGTGGACAGGGGCGGCAGCCGGCGCGTGGACGCCCTCCGCCGGCGTCTCTGCCGAGGTGCGCGCAGGCTGCCCTCGGGGTTATCGAGGACACAGGGTAACCAGGGGCAGGGTGGACGAGGGGGCGCGCACGGGCAGCTGAGACCCGGAGCCGCTGTGTCATTGCAGGTGCAGCCGGTCCAGCAGGTGTACCCCGCGCAGGTCCACTACGTGGAAGGGGGCGACGCCGTGTACACCAACGGAGCCCTGTACGTGCGTTGTGGATGTCTCCCCCCTCCACCTGCCGGGCGTCCTTGGCCAAGGACCCCTGACCTCTCTCTCCCTCCCCCCATAGTCGCACCGCCTATGCCTACAACCCCGAGCCTCAGCTCTATGCCCCGAGCAGCGCCGCGCCCTACTTCGAGGCCCCCAGCGGCGCCCAGGTGACCGTGGCTTCCTCCCCGCCGACCGTGCCTCCTCACAGCATGGTGGGCCTCACCATGGACGTCGGGGGCAGCCCCATCGTCTCCAGCGCAGGAGCCTACCTCATCCACGGGGGCATGGACGGCGCGAGGCACTCGCTGGCCCACACGGCCCGCTCCTCACCAGCCACGGTAGGTGTCTGGTGCATGGTCCTGGAGGGTTTGGACACAAGTGGTCCCTCTCCACGACCCCTAACTCCCTCCCCAGCACCCCTCAGTTCGGTCTGTGCCTTCTGTGGTTTGTGCCCCCCAAGTCTGGCTTCAGGACTGGGCTGGTGCCTGGGTGGCAGGCCCCGCAGGTGCGTTCTGCCTTGCCTGGTCGTCTGGCGCTGTGTGTCCAGCTTGAGGGTTTAGGCTTTGCAGTCCCGGCAGCCGTGACAAGGTGGAGTGGGGGGCCTGGGCAGCCGGCCGTGTGCGCGGAGGTGGTCCTTGTAAGTGCCTACGGGGCACTCGCCGGGCTGGGGCCGCCCACCTTCCCTGGCAGCGCCTGGGCATCCTGGCTGCTCAGCTGTGGCCGAGCCCGTGGTCTTGGCCGCTCTGGCAGGCGTGGGCTCCCGCAAGCGGATCCCCTCGACAGCAGGTGCTAAGGGGTCCCGTTCCCGCCTTGCCACCTCACTGCATGCTAGTGGGTGCTCATTTTTTCTTTTTTTTAAACTAAGGCTGCTTGTTTTCTCCCTGCCAAGTTTGGGCAGTTCCCTGTCCAATCTGGATGCAGGTGCTGTGGTGACATTGGGAGCTGCAAAAATGTGCTCTGTCTTCACTGCATCTCTCTCTAAACCTGCAAAGTTAAAATGGAGTATTAAGTTTGAAGTTCTTTTTATTGGAAAGTCAGATACGCAAAGAGGAGAGACAGAGAGGAAGACCTTTCGTCCGATGTTTCACTCCCCCAAGTGACCTCAATGGCCGGAGCTGATCCGAAGCCAGGAGCCAGGAGCCTCTTCCAGGTCTCCCACGCGGGTGCAGGGTCCCAAGGCTTTGGGCCGTCCTCCACTGCTTTCCCAGGCCACAGGCAGAGAGCTGGATGGGCCGCTGGGATTAGAACTGGTGCCCATAAACTTGCAAGCCACTTGCAAGGCAAGGACTTTAGCCTGTTAGGCTACTGGGCTGGACCCGCAGGCGTGTTTTTTGTTTGTTTGTTTGTTTGTTTTTGTTTTTTTTTATGCACTCACTGGCGTCTGTCTCTGCCCAGCTGCAGTGGCTGTTGGATAACTATGAGACAGCAGAAGGTGTGAGCCTGCCCCGAAGCTCCTTGTACAACCACTACCTCCGGCACTGCCAGGAACACAAGCTCGACCCGGTCAACGCCGCGTCCTTCGGCAAGCTCATCCGCTCCGTGTTCATGGGCCTGCGCACGCGGCGCCTGGGGACCAGGTGGGTAAGCCGGGGGACCCCGCTGCACCCGTCTTCTCTCCTGCTCACTCACAGACAGATGCCAGAGTCCAGCTCCAGCTGAGTTCGGAACTCGGGCAGGGCACGTGGATGAGGCGCAAAGAAGAAAGAAAGAGACGGACCACTAGGATTTCGTGATCATAATGGACAATGCGGGCCGCTTTATTTATACAAAATCAGTCCAACTCTGGCTCAGACTTTTTACGTCACGGTCAAGTTGGGAATTTCTAAGAGTAATTCTGCCATAGTTTTACCTAGAAACAGTACCTAGAAGTTCCTGCTAACAGTACCTAGAAGTTCCTGCTACAATTCTTATCCTACAACTCAATCTTGTATCACAAAGAAGGGAATCTAAAGAATGAGGAAAGGATGAAAGCCTAAATCTACATCCCTTGATTAGCACAGGCTCAACGGGGACAGCCAAGACAGTAGGAATAACAGAGGGCCCTTTTGCAAGACGCTATCACCGACATTAACCCCCAAGCTCACCCTGAGCAAAAGGCCAGCCTCGCCGTAGCGAACAGTGCCTGGATGGATTAGAGTTCTTCCGCGGGGCGGTCCGGTGTCCACGCAAGAGGTGGAGCTGCATTCAGGTGGTTGTAGAGACGTCCGCCCGGCGGGCCCTGCCAAACAGCGGGAAGTTCCTTGCGGCCCTGCCTGCAATGGAACAACACTCTTCACCCCCTCGTGTCCCCCACATCTACTGCACGGACCCCAACAGACAGAACTTTCTGGAAGCCGTGGGGCCACGGCCTCCCCCCTCCTCCTCCTGGGTGTCCTCCAGGCGTGGCTGGTGACCTCGGAGCCCCTCGGAGAGAGCGGCCACCTTGGCCGTGGCTCTGCTCTCTGCATTCGAAGCCGGTGACGGTGGTGGTGGTGGCGGGGGAAGGAGGTTTGGGAGTTTCCGCAGTCAGGTTTTTTTAAAAATGTAGTCCTTGGCATATCCTGGGTTTTTGGTTTAAATTTTATTTTCTCTATTTGAAAGGCGCAGCGATGAAAAGAGAGAAAGAGGCCGATCCTCTGTTCACGGGCTCACACCCCAGTGACCCCAACGTCCAGGGGAGGGAGGAAGTGAAGCCAGGAGCCAGGAGCTCCTTTGGGTATCCCATGTGGGTGGCCGGGACCCTAGTACCCGGGCCATCTTCCACCTCCCTGCCAAGTGCGTCAGCAGGGAGCCAAGTCGGAAGCAGAGCAGCCGGGACTCGAACCAGTGCTCTGACAGGGGCTACTGGGTTGCAGGCTGTGGCTGAGCCCACTGCGCCACAGGGCCAGCCCCTGGGGTCTGCAGACGCTTGATGCCTTGAACTCTGCCTGGTCCCCTCAGCTGCTGTGTGGCCAGTAGCCACCAAGGGACAGGCCTACTGCTGCAGTGCCCCCCTGCACACCCACAGCTGGAGGGAGGCCCCGGGCTGGCAGCAGGATGTGCTCGCCGTGGCACCGACCTGGGGCCAACCAGGCTCCAGTGACCGGCTGTGCAGTAGAAGAGAAGTGAAACGGAAGTGGGGGTGGGAACAGAAGTGGAGGTGCTCCAGTGGGAAGCTGCAAACACCACGGCCATGGGGGCAAGAGAACAGGGTCCCCCGTGCCCTATGGAGAGGGCATCCCCGGGGCACAGGTCACCCAGCCTCTGTGTCAGGGGTGATTAAGCCCCACTGCCCTGCTGCCCAGGGCTTGGCACCAGCAGGGCGCCACCTGCTCTCAGAGGGGCCAGTGCGCCCCCCTGTGGCCAGCTTGTGGGAACTGCGCTAGTCCCAGCAGCCACTCGGCTAGACCAAGGCAGAGGCCTTTCCCTGAGGTTTCCCCACCAGGTTAACACCACCAGGAGGCCGCCTAGGCTGGCTTCTCACCGCAGGACCTGTCAGAGGCTTGACCGAGCTACCACAGTGGAGGTGTTAAATCCCCCGTCAGCATTGGTCCCTGCGTCCAGCAGGAGCAGAGTGGCCAGAGACAGGGGCCAGCGGAAGCACGTGCCCCTGGCCCCGAGGACACGTCCCTTGGCAGGGGCTGGGTGGAAGCTGACACTGGGCTGCTGGCTTTCCAGGGGCAACTCCAAGTATCATTACTACGGCATCCGGCTAAAGCCAGACTCGCCCCTGAACCGGCTGCAGGAGGATACCCAGTACATGGCCATGCGACAACAGCCCACGCACCAGAAACCCAGGTGGGTGGCCTGCCAGGGCTGAGGAAAGGTAACGGTGGGGAGAGAGGGTGTGTACAGAGCCCTCCCCACCCCGCGCTCCGCAGTTCAGATCCCTGTCCATCCCTCAGTGGCCTGCATCCGGAATCAGCCACAGTCCCTCCACGCAGCAAAGCAATGAGGGTTGCCACGTTATGGTCCCTGGCAGGTCACAGTGCCTAGTGATGTCACAGCCGTCTGTGTAAGTGCCCGGGGACGTTCCCACAGGGAAACACCTGAGGACAGAGCTCTGCGGATACAACCCCTCCACGAGCAGCACAGAGCATGCAGGTGGATGCAGGGCTGGTGGATGGAAGAGTGAGTGATTGGGCAGATGGGTAGATGGATGGATGGGTGGATGGCCGGCTGGCTGGATGGGGTGAGTGGATGGATGGATGGATGGATGGATGGACGGATGGATGAATGGGTGGATGGATGGATGGATGGGTGGATGGATGGATGGATGGATGGGTGGATGGATGGATGGATGCGTGGAAGGATGGATGGATGGATGGATGGGTGGATGGATGGATGGAGTGGGTGGTGGATGGATGAATGAGTGGATGAGTGGAAGCACTAATGGTAGGTGGGTGGTGAGGGGTAAGCACGGGACGCGCTGAGCCTCTCCAAGCAAGGAAATGCTGACACCTCCTACAGCAGGGATGGACTCTAGGATGTGAGCCCAACACAAAAGGACAAAACACTGCAGGACCCGCCAGGGGGCTTCCAGGGACAGGGGCTGTGGGCAGTTCCCAGGGACAGATGGGACCATCCGGAGGGGGACAGTGGTGGTAGCTCTGCGCCCTGAGGCACATGCTTTCTCAAAGTGGTGGCGATGGCCCCGCCTGAGGCATGTGTATTGGGGCACGGCTGAGGAAAAATGGCACACACACACCCCAAGTTGAAGCCTACTCAGCCCCATGGTCTCAGGGTAGCCTAGGAGCCATTGTGCGAGCCTCGTGTAGACGTGTGTGCCCCCACCCAGGTATCGACCCACCCAGAAGACGGACAGCCTGGGGGACAGCAGCTCTCACAGCAGCCTACACAGCACGCCTGAGCAGGCCACAGCCGCCCACAGCCAGCACCACCAGCAGTACATAGGTGAGTTGTGTGGCCCCACCCCCGCGAGCATGCCGGGCCATGCCACCCTCGGGCACTCACGCCTGGGCAGTCGGCACAGGGGGGTGAGCAGTGCTTGGGATGCCACATCGGAGCACCTGGGTGCGTGCATGTTCTGGCCGCATTTCCAGTTCCAGCTCTGTGGGAATGCAGAGCAGTGACGGACGGCTCCAGCACCTGGGGCCCTGCGTCCGTGTGGGAGACCCGGATGGAGCTCTGGGCTCCTGGCTTCCCGGCCCTGGCTGCTGTGGCCATTGAGGGACGGACTCATGGAAGATCTGTCTCGCTTCTCTGTCCATCTGCCTCTGCTTTTCAAGTGCAAGGAAGTGATTCTGCTACAAATAGGAAGAAAGTTCTAGATAAGCTATGTTTCTGAGACTTAGCAATATGCCTACGCCAGCATGGGAACATGCAGCATGACTTCGAGGAAGCAGTGGCAGAGGGGCTTGTGGAATCCAGCCCCCATCCTGGGCTTGCCCTCTTTGGTGCCCAGAGCCAGGTGGGCACTCCCTCCCTGGGTCCTGGCACAAGGCAGCCAGCTGCATCTTAGCATGTGCCTGGTCCCTCTGGGGGACCCTGCGACACTGGGGGGCTTCCACGTCATTTTGTCAATTGCTGAGCCTGGCAGAGCCACATCCCCCACCCTATCTGCCCACTGCCAGTCCTCTCCCAGCGACTGGGCCAGCTCCAGGATCCTGCACAGAGCTGTAACACTACCCAGCCACGTGGAAAAGTTGGGAGACCAGCCTGGGGCCACTGGTCACAGGGCAACAGGGAGTATCCCCAACACTGGAGCCTCCATTCCACATCCCGTTACCCCAAGAACCCTGCTTCCGTCATTGAGAGCAACACACAAAAAATGTTAACCTGCTGGTTCCCTCCCCCAGTGTTGCCCCAGCCAGGGCTGGGCCAGGCCAAAGCCAGGATGTGGGCACAGCTCTATCCGGGTCTTGCACGCGGACACAGGGGCCCAAGGACCTGAGCCATCACTTGCCACCTCCCAAGGCGCGTGTCAGCAGGGAGCTGGCATCAGAATGGAGCCAGCACGAGTGGGGCGCAGGCGCCGTAATGACGGGGCAGGCAGGTGGCCCGGCCCGGAGCCCCGTTCCCGATTGTCCGCTTTCCTCCTACAGACGTCTCCCATGTCTTCCCTGAATTCCCAGTGCCCGATCTGGGCGGCGCCCTGCTACAGGAGAGCATCACGCTGCGTGACGTCAAGGCCCTCCAGCTGGCCTACCGGCGGCACTGCGAGGTGACCGCATGCAGGCGGCGGGAGCCGCGTCCGTCCCGGGCTCCCCGCACCTGCCACCACCTCACCCTTCCCCTGGGACCTCAAAGACCCCGCCGTCCCCCGCCTCCCGTCCGTCCATCCGCATGACCAATGTTCTCGCCACCAGGCGACCCTGGACGTGGTCATGAACCTACAGTTTCACTACATTGAAAAGCTGTGGCTTGCCTTCTGGAATTCTAAGGGCCCCGCCAGCGACGGCCCCGCCTCACTGCCTGCCAGGTGACCAACCGCCCTCACCCCATTGCAGCCCCCGGCATGCAGGTGCTGTGCCCTGGGAGCCACCTGCTCGCACGTGTGTGTGGCTCCAGGCTTCCCAGGGCTCTGTCGGTGCAGAGGGTCTCAGAGGTTCTAGCGGTGACACACGCAGCTACGGCTGGGGAGGGGCGGGACAGGTGCACTCATGCTCACGCGTGTGTCAGAGCTAAGTGTGCCCAGGGGCCGGGAGTCCTGTGGCCTGGCCAGGCTGACCAGCCCCCCTCCACCCGCAGCGACGAGGAGCCCGAGGGCGCCACGCTCTCCAAGGACAAGCTGGTGTCCCTGTGCAAGTGCGAACCCATCCTCAAGTGGATGCGGAGCTGTGACCACATCCTGTACCAGGCCCTGGTGGAGATCCTCATCCCTGACGTGCTGAGGCCCGTCCCCAGTAAGCGCGCCCGGTGCCAAGCCACGCCCCGGCTATGCCCACGCCCATGCCCCTGACCATGTCCTGCAGGGTGGGCCTCAGCAAGGATGTGGACCATGCCAAGCCATGTCCCGGCCACGCCCACACACCCCTGACTGTGTCTCCGAGATTTAGAGAGAAGGAGAGAAAGATCTCTCCACTGGTTCACTCCCCCAAGTGGCCACAAAGGCTGGAGCTGAGCCGATCCAAAACCCTGGAGCCTCTTCGGGGTCTCCCATGTCAGTACAGGGTCCCAAAGCTGTGGGTCATCCTTGACTGCTTTCCTAGGCCAAAAGCAGGGAGCAGGATGGGAACTGAAGGAGCCGGGATATGAACCGGTGCCCATATGGGATCCCGGCTCCTGAAGGTGGAGGATTAGCCAGTTGAGCCATCCTCCTGGAAGGTTCCTTTCAGGGCATGCAGGATGGTGGCCCGGTAACAGCTCTGAAGTCAGTGCTGACACCCTGGTGCCGAGGTTGGCACCTGCCGTTCGCTCTCCCACCCCAGAATCACTGGGGAACATTGCGTGAAATCCATTCTCGTCTAGGGGCATAGTTGCAGCCTCTTACGGAAGGGGGCCAACCCGGAACCATCAACAGGGCCCATGGCTCGCCCTTCCCAGGCCACCTCCCCAGCCTTCCCTGTGCCAGGAGCCCTGCACTGTGGGGTGCCTCGTGACAGTCGGGACTTGGTGCCCTGGTGTCCTGTGGTGGCCCCAGGCACGCTGGGCAAGCACGTTTGGCTGTGCCCCTGGAAGGAAAGAGAAGGAGCCCTCGGGCCAGGGCCGGTTGTAGTGGGCGCTGTCCTGGCGGCCCTGGCTGCCACTCCGGTCGCAGCTGCTAGTCAGTGCCCCGACCGTGGTGAACGCCCCGGTGCGTGTTTCTCCCAGGTACCCTGACTCAAGCCATCCGGAATTTTGCCAAGAGCTTGGAGGGCTGGCTCACCAATGCCATGAGCGACTTTCCCCAACGCGTCATCCAAACCAAGGTGATGCAGCTGGGGTGGGGTGGGCCAGGGAAGGGGCAGGGGACGCAGGAGGGTGATGGAGAGGGGAGCAGGCTGCGGGCAGTGGCCAAAGGACCGGAAACGCCACCTGCTTTCTAAGCTCTCCCTATCCTCGCGTCAGAACATCAGATGGGGACATGCTGTCTGTGTGTGAGCCTGCTGTCTTTGTGGCCATCTTTTCAAAGATTTATTTATTTATTTGAAAGGCAGGGCGGGGCCAGGGGCAAAAAAAGAAGCCAGGTGCCTGAGCTCCTTACGGGTCTCCCACGTGAGCAGCAGGGATGCAAATACTTGGGCCATCCAGTTTTTTTTTTTTTTTTAACATTTATCCATTTTTATTGGAAAAGCAGATATTCAGAGAAAAGGAGAGACGGAAAGATCTTCCATCTGTTGGTTCACTCCCCAAGTGGCTGCAATGGCTGGAGTTGAACCAATCTGAAGCCAGGAGCCAGGAGCTTCTTCAGGGTCTCCCACGCGGGTGCAGGGTCCCAAGGCTTTGGGCCGTCCTCCACTGCTTTCCCAGGCCACAGGCAGGGAGCTGGATGGGAAGGGGAGCTGCCGGGACATGAACTGGTGCCCATATGGGATCCCAGTGCTTGAAGGTGGAGGGTTAGCTGAGCGAGCTGTTGTGTTTCGCTAGGCTTTCCCACATTTATTTCTTTGACTAGCAGCAGGAGGGCAGATAGCAACACAAGGAAGGTTGCCATTCATGGATGGCGTGGATGCCCACCACAGTGGAGGGTGGGCCATGCCAATCTGGGTTTCTCACGTGGGCGGCAGGGCCGTTGTGGGGCAGCAGGAACTCCCCACCCCTTCCCTGCTGCCCCGCCGCCCCAGGGTGCTGGCTGCGAGGTTCTCGGGTACCAGCTCAGATGCCAGCCCAGCCTTGCAGCTCCAGAGAGCAGCTGAAGGAAGGTGCCTGAGGTCGGGGCTGCGCTGCAGCACAGTGTGTTCAGCGTCCGCCTGCTGCGCCAGCGTGCCACGTGGGCACTGGCTGCAGCTCCCTGCTAATGGCCGGGGAGAGCAGCAGTTTAATCTGTCTCTGTCAGCTTACCTTTCCAATAAATACATTTTAGGAAATAAAAGCAAACAGGCCTGTGTGAGGGCGCGGTCCTGGAGGATCGCCCACATCCAAGCAGACACTGCGCACGGCCTCGCCTTGCTCCAGGGCGGTGGGATCCGCGCCTCCAAAAAGGAGTGGCCACGGGGGACGCGCGCTCCGCTCTGGCGGCACTGTCCCACTGTCCGACGCGCGCTCCCCTGCCTGGTGCACCAGGCTGAGCCCCGCGTCCCGTTACAGGTGGGCGTGGTGAGCGCCTTCGCGCAGACCCTGCGGCGTTACACGTCCCTCAACCACCTGGCGCAGGCGGCGCGCGCCGTGCTGCAGAACACGGCGCAGATCAACCAGATGCTCAGCGACCTCAACCGCGTGGACTTCGCCAACGTGCAGGTGACTCCCCGGGGCGCAAAGCCGCAAGGCCTGCGGGGTCCGTGGCTGTTGGGCCCCGGTGCACAGTAGGTGACACGCTCCCCTGGGGCCTCGCTTCCTGCTGCGCTCACCAAGCACCCCTTGCTCCCCGCACAGGAGCAGGCGTCCTGGGTGTGCCAGTGCGAGGAGGGCGTGGTGCAGCGGCTGGAGCAGGACTTCAAGCTGACGTTACAGCAGCAGAGTTCGCTGGATCAGTGGGCCAGCTGGCTGGACGGCGTGGTCACGCAGGTGCTCAGGCAGCACGCAGGCAGCCCCAGCTTCCCCAAGGCCGCCCGGCAGTTCCTGCTCAAATGGTCCTTCTACAGGTGCGTTCCAGGTGGGGGCAGGGGGAAGGGAGAAGCTGCCAGATGGGGTGGGGGGCTCAATCTGTTGACCTCCTTAGGCTAGGCAGACCTGCTGGTGTGCTCCTCCCTGCCCATTCCCAGCCTGGCCTCGCTGCCCGAGGACTTCTCCACCTATGCCCCCCATCACAGCTGGATGTCCCTTCCCACACCGCCATGAGGCTGTCATGCACAGCCTCCTGGCCTGGGTCTGCACCTGTCGCGAGGTGCTGTGACCAGGTCACCTGGCTGTCCATGTACTTGTCCACTTGTCCTGTCCCCTAAGCGCTGCCTGGGTGAGCCAGCGGAGGGCCCGGCAGACGGTGGCCACCTGGCATGGCATGGGACGGGTGTGAGCGCCCCCTTGGGGGCGGGGATGTTGGTGTGCTGTGCTGTCCACCTCCCCAGAGTCCCTGGCCTGTGTCCCCTCCCCTGCACCCCTGCAGCTCCATGGTGATCCAGGACCTGACCCTGCCTGTGTCCCCTCCCCTGCACCCCTGCAGCTCCATGGTGATCCAGGACCTGACCCTGCCTGTGTCCCCTCCCCTGCACCCCTGCAGCTCCATGGTGATCCAGGCCCTGACCCTGCCTGTGCCCCCCCAACCCCTGCACCCCTGCAGCTCCATGGAGATCCAGGCCCTGACCCTGCCTGTGTCCCCCCACCCCCTGCACCCCTGCAGCTCCATGGTGATCCGGGACCTGACCCTGCGCAGCGCTGCCAGCTTCGGCTCCTTCCACCTCATCCGGCTGCTCTATGATGAGTACATGTTCTACCTGGTGGAGCACCGCGTGGCGCAGGCCACGGGCGAGACGCCCATCGCCGTCATGGGCGAGGTGAGGCCCTCCCCCTGCAACGCACCATTACACAGTGGCAGGTGGCCCGTTTCACGACACGGATACACTGTGTAGTTCTAGAACATTCGCCTCAAAAGGGAAGCCCACCTGGCGACCCCGAATTCCCCCTTCCCTGTGGCTGTGGGCCCGTCTGTTCTGGGCATTTCCCATCGGGGTCGAGGGGAGTCACACACCTCCCACATGGGGTGTAACATCTTCAGGGTCGCTGCACGCCACAGCGGTGCCACACCCCATCACATGCATCAGGGTCTCGCAGAAGGAGAGCGTGCCACATCCCTGGGACCCCACACGGTGTGGCATGGCGTGGCCCCGCCACTGGCCACCAGGGCTGCCCGGAGTGTCTGCACATGGCCTTCTCTTCTTACATGCGTTTCCGGCTCCTGTGCTGTCCCTGGGCGTCAGGAGTGGCTTCCAGGACTCGTGTCTGGGACTCAGCTCTTGCCGGAGCTCACGCTGGTCATTGGAGCCTTCTAGAATCTGTGGGAAGGGGGTGTGTGGGGGGCCTAGCACTGGCTGCAGGGCGCCCTGATGCCCTGCTGGCCATGCCCCCTCCCAGGGATCCAGCTGCTGTGCCCTGACCCAGCACTTCAGCACGGCCCCCTGCAGGTGTCATGAGGGGCACCCCTGACCACACCTTCCTCTTGCAGTTCAACGATCTCGCCTCCCTGTCGCTGACGCTGCTGGACAAAGGTAGGTGTGTGTGAGGCCGTCGAGGGGACACCCCCAATGCCCACTCCACCCTGGCCCAGCCCCGTCCCTCACCCAGCACAAGCCAGTCAGGGAAGTTCCCGGGGATAAAGTGGGGGCTGTAAGGGCAAAGACATGGCAGGCCTGGGCAGCCAGGGCCAGGGGCTGACCGGGCCGCGCAGGCCAGGGTTCCCACACGCCTTGGCCGCGTGCTGATGGTCCGCTCCCCACCCCCGCGCCCTGTCCCGCAGACGACACGAGCGATGAGCGCAGCAGTGAGGCGGATGGCGATGCCCACGGCCTGGGCGAGCCCCTCGTGAAACGGGAGCGCAGTGACCCAAGCCATCCCCTTCAGGGCATCTAGCAGGACCGTGGGCGCCTTCCGCGGGCTTCCGGAAGCTGGCGCCGGTCCGCCCTGTGAGCCTGGACTCCACCGGCCCCGCTGCCCGCTCGCCTGCCCGCCCGCCTGCCCGCTGAGCAGCTCCTGGGTGACGCCATGTCTGCCCTGACTCTAGGGCCACTCCAGCCAGCAAGGGCTGAGAGAATGTTCTAGAAGAGAGGTGGTTGCAGAGGTCATCCTCAGGGCGAGGGGACAGGGGGCGGGCGGGATGCCCCTTGTGGTCCCTGCCTTGGCCGCTGCCTCCTCCGTGCAGCCCCCTCACCAGGATTGCAAAGGGGACTTGAGCAAGCCACCCTCGCCCCGCGCGCCAAAGAATGCTGGGGAAGCGTCCACTGTTGCCATGTCCCTGGCCAGGTCCTCAAGGCCAGCAGGGAGCAGATGACGACCAGGGCAGCCTGCACAACGAAGCCCCACGCTCCCTCAGCTCCGGGCAGGACCTGCCCACGTTCAGGGTCACCATCTGGGCCCCCCATGGCCTGCAGCAAAGGTGTGTCCCCAGCGGCCAAGGAGGGGCCGGTGCCACAGCCACTCCACTCGTGTGCCAAGAACAGCCCCTCAGGCAGCTCCCCCAACTGCCCCAGCACCGTACTGCCCCCCCATGCCTCAGAGCTGCCGGCCTGGCAGGAGCTCACCCCCTTTTCCCCCCTTCCCCACCCCCTGCAAATACGTGACCTCTTCATGGTCACCACCAAGGACACCCACGTGCTGTGGGCTTGCGTGGACCTGGGTGTGCTGCTCAGGGCCCCCGCCGAGAGGGCCCGGACCCCCGCCCTCCCTGCCGCCCGGGAAGCGCCATCTAACTCAATGCAATGTTTTCTCTTTTTGGAAAAATGTTTCTATGATAATTTTGCTGTCTGATTTTGTTCTTAGCAGGTTTGTTATGATTCTGTGTACTGTTGCACTATATTCAGTCCCACTTTGTCCGCGTTCAGCCGAAGGTACTGATGTCCCCTCACGAGGCCTTAAAGCGCCCCCCCGTTTCCTGCCGGCGCCAGGAAGGTCCCCCCAGCCCTCCGTGGGGAGAAGGCCGGTCAGGGTCACGCGGTGTGGCCTCCCGGCTGGACAGTGTCCTGCCAATGCGCGGGCACCCCCTGACGGGCACGCGGCTTGTCACCTCGTGTATTGTCACCCAGCGTGGCTCCCACGCTAAGCAGCCAATACATTCTGGGTTGATCTCACGCTCCGTGTCGTCCTTGAAGGGTCCCCTGCCGAGGCGCGGGAGGGACAGCTGTGTTGCCCGCCTGCAGCCCCCACCAGCCCGTTCTTGCATCCTTGCATCCGGGGTGGCCACGTCCAGCTTCCTGCTGCTGCGGGGTGAGGCCTGCTCGCTGGCTGTCCCCCACCCCTCCGCACTGGGGGCGGTGGCCCCAGAGCCTTCAGGTGCTTTCTGGAAGGAGCCTGCTGGGCCTACACCCCGAGCCAGGGGAATCTCCTTGGGTTCCCCGCGTGTTGAGGTGCACCTGGGGGGCGGGGGGAAGAATCCTGCCACGGGGCTGCTCTGCGGAGGAGGAAGGGCCATGGGGCGGAATGTTCCAGAGAAGTGGACACGGGGCTCCCAGGCAGCTGCTGGGCTGCCAGGGCCACTCCAGGACCCCCCACACTGCACTCGCCTTCCAGGTCTGCCCCTCCTGCAGCAGCTGCCCCAGGCTTGGGGGTGGCATGGAGGGGCGGGGCGTCGGGCCCCGCAGGGGGACACACACAAGCAGGGAGGGTGGACGTGAGAAGGGGCTGGAGCGGCAGCACGTTGGGAGGACTTGGGGAAGGTCCCATCTGTGTTAGGGAGAGAGCCGGATGGCCACGGTAGCCAGTGCAGGGCCAGGGTGCGTCCAGGTCTCCCCCGCCAGTGCAGCGTCCCAAGCGCATAGGCCATCACCCGCTGCCTCCCACACACACCAGCAGGGGGCTGATGGGAAGTGAAGCAGCCGGGACTCGAACCAGGCCCCCGCGGGATGCCAGCGCCGCAGGCAGTGCCTTCATTTGCTATGCCACAGCGTCGCCCCGAGGTACCACCTACAGAGGCAGCACTCGCCACCGGGTCACCTCTCGTCACATTCTCACTTAGAGAGAGATCTTCCATCCTCTGGCTTCCCGGCTAAATGCAAATAACAACCGCCACAGCCTCGGGACCCTGCAGCCACAAGGGAGACCCAGAGGAGGCTCCTGGCTCCTGGCATTGGATCAACTCAGCTCCAGCTATGATGGCCATTAGGGGAGCGAAGCAGCGGACGAAAGATCTGTCTCTCTCTCTAAATCTGCCTTTCCAATGCAAGTCAGTCAATAATAACGATAATGACAATAATAAAGCTGCGAGGCAGGACCGGAGGCAGTGGGAACCCTGGGGGTCTCTCAGGAAGGTGCTGTCCCACTCTGCAGCTCCTGGCACGCCCCCTCTGCCCCTGGGTTTGTCCCAAATCTCCCCTGGACTCCCGGTACCCCGTGCCTTGGCACCCCTGCACCCTGGCAGCATGGCACCCCAGCACCCCTGCACTCCTGCACTCCTGCACCCTGGCACCCCGACACCCCTGCACCCCGGCTCCCCGACACCCCAGCACCCTGGCACCCCGGCAGCTCGGAACCCTGACACCCCAGCACCCTGGCACCCCGGCAGCTCGGCACCCCGACACCCCAGCACCCTGGCACCCCGGCAGCTCGGCACCCCGACACCCCAGCACCCTGGCACCCCGGCATCCCTGCACCCTGGCACCCAGGCAGCTTGGCACCCTGGCACCCCGGCACCCCAGCACCCTGGCTCCCCAACACCCCAGCACCCTGGCACCCCGACCCCCCGGCTCCCCGACACCCCAGCACCCCGACACCGCAGCACCCCGGCTCCCCGGCACCCTGGCACCCCTGCCCGCGCGGCTGCCCGAGGTGGCTTGCGGGACTCGCAGTTTGGTTCTCCCGCAGCCGCCAGGCCCGAGCGCGGCGCCACCTGGCGGCCAGACGGAGGGACTGCGGCCGCTCTCCGACAGCCGCTCCCCTGGCGCAGGGCCGGGGTTGGTGGGCGCAGGGCCGGGGTTGGTGGGCGCAGGGCCGGGGTTGTGGGCGCAGGGCTGGGGTTGGTGGGCGCAGGGCTGTGGTTGTGGGTGGGCGCAGGGCCAGGGTTGTGGGCGCAGGGCCGGGGTTGTGGGCGCAGGGCTGGGGTTGGTGGGCGCAGGGCCGGGGTTGTGGGGTGGGCGCAGGGCCAACAGTGCGTGCCAGCAGACACCCCAGACACCCTGGGGATCCGAGGAATGAGTGGGACCAGATGACTCTGGGGGTCGCATTCTGCAGTGGCGATCCGGAGCTCCAGGTCAACTTCAGGTTTTAGCTTTTTTAAAATTTTAGATGCGATCTTATTTATTCGAAAGAGTGAGAGACAGAGCGGGGAGGAGGGGGCAGCCATTCTGGTGCAGAGCGGGTTAAGCAGACGCCTGTGGCTGCAGCACCCCACACAGGTGCGGGTTCGAGTCCCAGCTGCCCCACTTCCAGTTTCCTGTAAACGCGCATGAGAAAACAGCTGAGGAAAGGCCAAACACTCAGGTCCCTGCACCCACGGGGGGCACCCAGTCAGAGATCTTGGCTCTCTGTCTCGCTGTCACTCTCCATTTCCAATCCTAAAAAAAGCCACAGGAGGATTATATTTAGCAGGCGATGACATTTCCGGGAGTTTCCAAGCCGTGGTATGCCAGTGGCGCACGCTGCGGCCGTAGGAGACCTGTCACAGTAATTCACACACAAGCTTCTCCTCACCGCCACTGGCTGTCACTCCCCTTCGGGCTCCCACGGGGTGATAACGCCGCTCTGAACATCGAGGGTGGCACAGGACGGCCCGGTGGCTGGCACCCACCCGGCGTCGCCCGGGAATTCCCTCATGATGGTTTCGGTTTTTCATCCTGCGCTCCTATTCCCAACTTGGTGGGTTTCTCTGTCAAATGATACAAAGGACCTTATTAAACTCAAATGTAAAACAGGGAGTTCGCTCAAGGTCACGGGGTCCAGGTACCTCCGGTTGGAGCTGAGGAGCATCAACTCAACGCTTGGAACCGTATTTATTTTTCTTGGAAAGTCAAATATGCAGAGAGGAGGAGAGACAGAGAGGAAGATCTTCCGTCTGATGATGTAACGGCCTGTGCTGCACCTATCTAAAGCCAGGAGCCAGGAACCTCCTCCAGGAGGTCTCCCACGCGGGTGCAGGGTCCCAAGGCTTTGGGCCGTCCTCCACTGCTCTCCTAGGCCACAGGCAGGGAGCTGGATGGGAAGTGGGGCAGCCGGGACTCGAACCAGCAAGCACAGGGGATCCTGGCGTGTTCAGGGCAAGGACTTCAGCCTCTAGTTCGCGTCCCCGCACCTGCTGCTGCGCCAGCGCATGCGCACACGCGCCCTCGCCCTGGCCACGCCCTCTCCCCCACCTCCCATTTGGCCGGCGGGAAAAAGAAAGGCGCCGGACCGTTGGTGCGCAGGCGCGTGCCCAGCCGGCCACGCCCCCTCGAGGGTGCGGGGCGGAGTTCCACGCGCAGGCGCAAGCCGCCCCGGGGCGCGCACCCGGAGCGGTCGGCCCCCAGTGCGCACGCGCAGGAAGTGTTCGCGTAGGCCCGCCCGCAGGTTGAGCCCGGGCCGGCGCGCGGGGCCTTGTGGGAGGGCTTAAGGAAGTAAAATGGCGGACCTGGCGAACGAAGGTAGGGGAGGCGCCGTCGGGGGGTCGGGGTGACGGCCGGGGGTCGGGGGGCCGTGGGTCGGGGGGCCGCGGGTCTCCACGGGCCCAAGGGTGAGCAGCCCGGGCTGCCGAGAGCCGGCGGGCCGCGCTGGCCGCTCCTCCATGGCGTCCCCGCAGGCCGGGCCGGCCAGGAGGGTCGGGGTGCTGTGTGTGTGTGTGAATGTGTGTGTGTCGGGGGGAAATGGGGGGTCCCAGCCCCCGGGGTGGCCGCCCTGAGGGTCCCAGGGGGGCGGGGAGGTACGTCCGGCCGTGTCAGGAGAGCCCGGGGCCCCGCTTGGCACCCCTTCATTTTCGGGGTGCCCCGTGCTGCCCCCCGCGCACTGCACCCCGGACTTGGCACCCCACTTCCCTCTCCTTCGGGGACCCCTTGTCTCGTCCCTTCTGGAGCCCTTCCGTGGCGTGATCTGAGCTGCCGCTCGCTTTGAAAGCTCCGTCCCCTGCCTTCTTTCCTTGCTGCGTGTTTATCATTATTATTATTATTTTACGATGGCGTGGTGGACAAAGTGGACCGACCCCCCCCAACACGCTCCTCCCGGGGCCCCGCCTACTCGAGCTTTGGGGTGTCTTGCATTGGGAACTGCATTTGAGCTCCTTCATGTTGCCAAGCACCCAGGGTGCTCCCTCCACTACCTTTTTGCAGGGCACCCCCAATTTTTCCCAGGCGCTGCTGCTGCGTGTACACGAGGGAAGCGTGTAGTCCAACTGTCTCAGCTGGCTTGAGAAAGTGCAGCTGCGGGGCAGGCATAAGAGTGACGGGGAATCAGGGGGCGGCCCACCTAAGGGGAGCACCCTCCCCCGCCACCACCACTGAACCCCAAGCTTGGCTGCCGGCTTGCTGCTGGCGTCTGGGTGGGCGTCAGGCCCAGGCAGCAGAAGGACCGACTGACCAGGGGAACCAGGCTGATGAACTGCCCTGGTTTGACGTCTGTATTCAAGATCCCACGTGTCCAGTTGCAATGTCTAGTGTGTCCCCACAGTCTGCCCCGAGCACTGCCACCCAGCAGTCACCCTAATTCCTTCCCCCGCTCTTCCATACAGTCCACATCGGATCAGTTATTCCTAAACCATAGGTCCCTGCTACGCACCTTACAGCTCCACCTGAAGCCCTGGTGAGAGGGGACCCCCCAGCTCTCTCCCTGGCTCACCGCCCGCCGTCACTGCTTAGGATGCCTCCCGACCCTGTGTGGTTAGACCAGGTGCTCTTGTCCCCAGCCCCACCTGCGGGCACTCTTGTATGTTTGTTTTGTTTTTCTGAGCGTGGGAGAACTTTTCCGGGCACCTGTCTCGTTTGCCGCCCGCCGTCTGGCCCATGACGTGGCGTGGCTGCGTTGGGTTTCTGAGCTCCCAGAAGGTAGGGGTTTGGACGCTGTCAAGGTCCCTGGGTCCTCGGAGCTTGATGCGTGGGAGAATGAGTCCAGCGGGATGGAGGATCGGAATGCCGAAACACAGCGGCTGCGCCTCACACCTGCTGTACTCAGCGGCTGTTTGGGGGGTCGTCTGACTTGCTCCTTCCAGGACAGCCGTCCATGGGAGGTCCGCTCTGTGGCCCAGATGTCCCTGCCACCCTCTGTGCTCTCAGAGACCGCAGTTCTGGCTATAGCTTGCCCCCACCCAGAGAAAGCGGGACTTACCTGCCAGGAAAGGCAAGACTTTGTCATGTGTTTGGCTGTGACTCCAGGCAGTACCTCATGGGTTCCTGGCTTTGCAGGCCAGGCAGTGGCTGTCCGCTGTCCGCTGTGGCCAAACATTGGTCTCACCTAAAGGGCAGCCTGTGGGATTCGGGGTTGGGAGTGCCGTGACGCTGAGACCCCGCTGCCTTGAGCACCTCGGGAGAGAAGGATGGTCCTGTTTGCAAGCTGTGGGTATCTGAAGGGGGCTACCCCCAACCCTCCTGGCCTTTCCTGGAGCCCAGGGTGCAAGGTGCAGCCAGAGGGCCCCTCTCCCGGTGCTTGCATATGGCACCCCCGGGTGCCTCAGGCATCGAGCGTGGAGTTGCTGGGGTGGCCCTGGTGTGGTCGGTCAGGAAGAGTGAGGAGACAGCGAGCAGGGAGCGTTGGGACCACTGGCGAGTTCAAAGGCAGCACAGACGCCTCCCCCACCCAGAGTCCATAGACGGTTCCTGGTGCAGCAGAGTTCTTGCTGCACCCATAGCAACTTTGGGGGTGCAGAAGGCTCTGTTGGGGAGGATGCCTCATGTACCGTGGGGTGCTCAACACCCTAGTGGCATCCCCCAACCTGCTTCCTGGGGTCATGCACGCAGCCTCTTGCCCTGGGCAAAGGGGAGGGCAGAGCGGTCTGTGCGTGGGGTCGGCCGCACGCTCGCTGGGTCGTGTCGGGGGAAGGCCCTATCCGAATGCCTTCCTTTCCTCACCTGGCTGGTGGGGCGTTCTGAGCGTGGTGTGTGCGCCAGTCGACCCCTCAGCCTGCAGTTATACACTCCCTGTGTGGGCGGGAGGGGCTGCGTTTAACCACCCGTACCTGGTCTGCCGTGTCCACCTGCCAGACCTGCTCGGCCTTACCCTCGGAGTGTTGGGGAGCAGGTGGCCCTTGGGGTGAGGGCTCAGCACCCCCTGGAGCACAGCCAAGCTGGGGCAAGGGCAGTGCTGGGGAGGGTGGGGGCGGTCCTTTTCATGAAGTGTGCTTTGCTGGCTGGAGTTAGGTAAGGTTTGCCTGGGCAGCTTGGCACGTCACCCAGCCTCTTGGCGGTGCTCGGGGTGGGAGTGTAGCCGTCCACACTCATGGGTGGGGGTCTCTACGATTGAGCCACCCGCTGCCTGCCACCCCCAGTGTGCACCACAGCGTGGACCAGAGCTGGGGTCGGGAAGGTGGCCGAGACGCCAAGCCAGGAGCACCACGTGAGACGCACGTGTGGCTAGCAGCATCTTGACCACTGGGCCAGCCTGTCCCAGGGAGAAGTTATCGGGGTGCCGGGGTGTCCCCTCTTCAGTGGTGTCTTTCAGCTGGCTCGCAGCCTTGCTCACACAAGCAGGGTCAGATGCGACTGCGTAGGCCTTCCTTGACTGGCTCTCGTTCGGCGGGGGGGGGGGTCACTCCAGGTTCCCCACCCCTTCCCTGGGCTGACAGGGTGCATTTTCATGAATGTCTCATGGAAATGAAGCTGGGTGGTGGCTGAGAGCCGACCTGGGTGCCTCAGGAGCTCCAAGGTCTTTGCATACTTCCAAAAAAAAAAAAAGTGAAGTTTCTCCCAGGCTCTTGGCGGGTAGATAGAAAACTTAGGGCTCTGTGAAACTTGAGCCCAGCTATGGGCTTTCTCGCAGACTGCTGAAGATGGTGGTGCTTCGTGGCAGTGTCCAGGTGGCCGTCCTGTGGGCTCCATGGAGAAAGCAGTGTTGCAAGGGCGTTGTCCAGCTGTGTCCAGGTGACCCTGTACCGGTGGCAGGCCCCTCCTCTAGTGGTCTCGGCCCTCAGGGACCATCACGTGGCACCTGCCATGACCCTCTGCCTGGTTGAAAGCGAGTGGTGGATGAGAACAGAAGCTTCCTGGGCCGCCCTGCGGAGCCCACGCAGGACACGGGACCTTCGGGTCTGTCGTGTGGACGGCAGCTGCTGGCTAGCTCGGGGGGCTGCAAGCGTTGGGTTCACCTGCTAGTTTGTTTTCCGTTAGTATCTAACACAGTTATTTCGGGGTTGGGGTGGTCCAAATTTCTCTAGCCAGCCCCCCGGTCTGCCCATAGCATTTTGTCAGAGCATTTTGTCCAGAGCAGCTATGACCCGTGAGGTGGGCGATGCGCCCACTGCCTGCGCCCTTCCTGGTGCCCGGCTGAGCTGGGCTGGCATGGAAGCTTCAGCAGGCTCTTGGGGTGCTCTCAGCATGGAGCTGAGTATGCCCTGCTCCTGCGGTGTTTTGGGGTTCGGTGTGCTCATCTCCCAGGGGAGCTCGTGGCAGTGGCTGTCGAAGATGGAGCTCCAGGGCCGCAGGTTGGCAGAGAGCTCCCTTGTGGCCTGACGGTGGCATCTGTAGAGACCATGTGGCGTGTGGCAGCACCACAGGGGCAGCCGGCCGCTGCCTCTTGTTGCCGTGTGGAGAAGGCTGCCCTCCTCGCTGCTCTGTGTGCAGTGGCTGCATCCTGTCCAGGTGGGCCTGCCCGAGCAGTCTGCCATTTTCTTGCGGTTGGTGTCCAGCATGGTGCTTGCCAGCGTTGGGGCTGTGACCCCTGGGGACAATGGCGAGGGCCCTGTGGTTGCTGTGGGTGGACAAGGCCTGCCCCAGCCAGTCACTGCAGCCTCGGCCTGTCGGCAGGTTCCAGTGGACAGCCTGGTGCAGGGACGGGTGGACCTGCGTTCATGTGTACCTCGTGCCTGGGCAGTCGTCCGGCTTGGAGTTCCTGTGTCAGTGCAGGGAGTGGAGAGCTGCAGCAGGATGTGGGCCGGTCCCCTTCGCTGTCCTCCATGGCATGACAGCGTGTCCCTGGTCACCCCTCCCAAGGTGTCTGCCGGCATTTCCCCATGTCCCCTTAAGGGAAGGTGCATCCACAGCAGGGAGCTGTGTGCTGCCCACCCAGCTAAGGTCCCAGGTACTCGAACCATGATCCGCTGCTTCCTGAGATGGTGTCCGCAGGGTGGGAAGTAGAGCAGCCAGAACTTGAACCCGCGCTCCCAAGTTGGGTGAGGCCCCCTCCCCACAGCAGCGGCTTAACCCGCAGGGTGGCTCACTGTGTGTGTGAGTTAAGACTCTGACGGCCTTCCTTCCTTCCTTTGTTTTTCCCAGTGGCCAGGCTTCTGCCCTCGGCGCAGTTGGCATTGGGCTGATGGCTCTCATGCCGGGCGGCCAGCGAGGACCTCACCCCTCATCCCGGCTCCCCACCGCTGGGTCGGCCTCTGCCCACCTAAACCCCTGCGGCCCCAGATGTGATAAACGCCCAGGTTAGACTCCAACAGTGTCCACAGGGGACGCAGGGACGCCACAGTGTGTCCCGTGACCACCAGGTGCTGGGTGAGAAT